CACCACTACCATCTCACCTACTCCACTAAACCTAACCCACTACACCACTACCATCTCACCTACTCCACTAAACCTAACCCACTACACCACTACCATCTCACCTACTCCACTAAACCTAACCCACTACACCACTACCATCTCACCTACTCCACTAAACCTAACCCACTACACCACTACCATCTCACCTACTCCACTAAACCTAACCCACTACACCACTACCATCTCACCTACTCCACTAAACCTAACCCACTACACCACTACCATCTCACCTACTCCACTAAACCTAACCCACTACACCACTACCATCTCACCTACTCCACTAAACCTAACCCACTACACCACTACCATCTCACCTACTCCACTAAACCTAACCCACTACACCACTACCATCTCACCTACTCCACTAAACCTAACCCACTACACCACTACCATCTCACCTACTCCACTAAACCTAACCCACTACACCACTACCATCTCACCTACTCCACTAAACCTAACCCACTACACCACTACCATCTCACCTACTCCACTAAACCTAACCCACTACACCACTACCATCTCACCTACTCCACTAAACCTAACCCACTACACCACTACCATCTCACCTACTCCACTAAACCTAACCCACTACACCACTACCATCTCACCTACTCCACTAAACCTAACCCACTACACCACTACCATCTCACCTACTCCACTAAACCTAACCCACTACACCACTACCATCTCACCTACTCCACTAAACCTAACCCACTACACCACTACCATCTCACCTACTCCACTAAACCTAACCCACTACACCACTACCATCTCACCTACTCCACTAAACCTAACCCACTACACCACTACCATCTCACCTACTCCACTAAACCTAACCCACTACACCACTACCATCTCACCTACTCCACTAAACCTAACCCACTACACCACTACCATCTCACCTACTCCACTAAACCTAACCCACTACACCACTACCATCTCACCTACTCCACTAAACCTAACCCACTACACCACTACCATCTCACCTACTCCACTAAACCTAACCCACTACACCACTACCATCTCACCTACTCCACTAAACCTAACCCACTACACCACTACCATCTCACCTACTCCACTAAACCTAACCCACTACACCACTACCATCTCACCTACTCCACTAAACCTAACCCACTACACCACTACCATCTCACCTACTCCACTAAACCTAACCCACTACACCACTACCATCTCACCTACTCCACTAAACCTAACCCACTACACCACTACCATCTCACCTACTCCACTAAACCTAACCCACTACACCACTACCATCTCACCTACTCCACTAAACCTAACCCACTACACCACTACCATCTCACCTACTCCACTAAACCTAACCCACTACACCACTACCATCTCACCTACTCCACTAAACCTAACCCACTACACCACTACCATCTCACCTACTCCACTAAACCTAACCCACTACACCACTACCATCTCACCTACTCCACTAAACCTAACCCACTACACCACTACCATCTCACCTACTCCACTAAACCTAACCCACTACACCACTACCATCTCACCTACTCCACTAAACCTAACCCACTACACCACTACCATCTCACCTACTCCACTAAACCTAACCCACTACACCACTACCATCTCACCTACTCCACTAAACCTAACCCACTACACCACTACCATCTCACCTACTCCACTAAACCTAACCCACTACACCACTACCATCTCACCTACTCCACTAAACCTAACCCACTACACCACTACCATCTCACCTACTCCACTAAACCTAACCCACTACACCACTACCATCTCACCTACTCCACTAAACCTAACCCACTACACCACTACCACCTCCACTTCACCTACTCCTTACCTACTACACACTCACCCTCTTCTATATATAGGAATCATGAATCATTGTAATAAATCAATAAACATCAATCAATAATACATAAATTTTTACAGTATGAAATGAAAAGCATTGCAAATCAGTTCACCCCAAACAAGAAAGTCCAACAAATTCAGTACAAGAAGACAATGTGCGTCAGGGGAAGAGACACAGTGAAGCAAACTAACATGTCAAACATATGACAGGCAAACAAACTAACAGAGGAAAAAACAGGAGAATGCTTGATATCAATGAGTTTATTACCTTCATCTGTAGAGCTTTATTCACCAAGCTTGCCCATCAAAAGTTACGCATTTGGTTCCTACCCATACAAATGAAAAGATAATTTAAAGAAAATGATATGAGAACTATAACAATATTATAAACAAAAATGTACCAACTTGCAGAACATACCGGATGACATGAGGTTACTGATAAGATGGTTAACCTTTTTCTCCTCAACACATCACCTCAGTTCTGTGCCTCAAGTCCCTAACAAAAGCTCATTAACAGCAATATGTATATATGGTAGCAGGACATTATGGGCAGCTAAAAGGTTTCACAGTAGCCACTACATATATACTTCATAGAAGAGATCTGACAAGGGCAAACCAACAGCCATAATATGCTTACAGCATGATAATACACAAGTCAACCACGCAAAAAACTTAATCCCTACTAGAGCAGGTGAACCACATGGATCCTTTTTCCATCATCCAACTCTTATATAGAACCATCCATAGTAAATTGCACAGATTATTTCACCACGTAGGCCACATTACTATTGCCATTTTTCTTGCCTTTTGAGTAGGAAACAGTCTCAATTGCCAGGAAAGAACTTGGCTCTCATAAAACAAAATCTGGATAGTGTAAACATAACAGCCTCGGGGAAGGTTCCAATGGTAATGCTTCTCTTCTTTTATTCCAATTCTCATCCAACTATCTTAGTAGCAATCACAAAACCAGATAAACTACACAACAGTTCATGATGAATTATTACTTTGAAGAGAATTGCAATACCATCGGAGTTGACGAGGAACCAAACCAGTGTCCCAATTCAGAATGGAGTAGTAGACAACAAATAGGCAGCTGATCTAGACAGCCTTGAATCCCTATAAAGAACATTCTCCTTTACAATGTTTCAAAAAGTACCATCCCCAAACCCAGTTATGTCAAGCACAAAATGCTTTTAGTTGACTACATTTTTTATTTAAGAAAAACTCCTCATTGACAATACGCACTCCAGGTCTACAGTCAAATGTATAAAAATTCAAAACTTCAAATAAATAGATAATATTAGACAAATAAATATCACAGCATTTCATATCTTCCGTTTTTCATAAGGTTCACAGATCTAAGATGCAGTTAAAAGAAAAAAAAAAACAAAACAAAACAAGACAAAACAAAAGTGAGAGAGAGAGAGAAGAAGAAGAAGAAGAATATTATGCATATGCAAACATCCCAATTCAAACCCTTAATATTCCCAAAAAAAAGAACATCCCATTTGTTGTATAAAAAAAAAAAAAAATTTGCTGGACCTAGTCTCATAGAAAGTCAAAAAGCCTCTAACGTCTCAAATCATGCATATGCATTGAATTATTTTTATTTATTTCACAATAAAATATGGTATTTAATGTCTCTTACAATAAAATATGGTATTCACTGTTAATAAAATAATACAAAAAAATCCTAAAAGGTTAGGATTTTTACTAAACAAGGGTTCTCACCCTTTCTTGACCCCGTGCCTGGTCCTTAAATGGATTCCTCTAACAAAACAGAGATACCTTTAAGGTTCTGATTACTTGTTATGCAAAACAAATGCAAACAGATTTTAATTACCTTTGAAGTTTTAGTAGCACGCATTGGCTAAAACCATGAAAAACATGGATGAACTAGCCCCCTTACTAAAATTTGGAATCAAACATTCAGATACAAAATACATTCAAGTACCAAGCAGTAGCACTTCAGCCTGCCCGTCACTCTGCAGGTAAAACGTTAACCTTTCTTTAATTTGTTCATGCATGTGTAAGTGTTTGTTTTTTTATCAGCATGTGTGTTTTTTTTTATAATAGTTATCACCAACACTATAAAAAAGTGACCACATATAGTTGAAATTTTAGATTTTATTTTTGTCATTACAGACGTATTTTCAGTTTTCCATTCATAATTTGTTATCAGTTTTACTTTTGTGAATAGAAATTTTAACACGTGAAATGAACAATATTTGAATAATTGTTAGCCAGTATAATTTGTTAGATATTAATTGTTTCCCTCCCAAAGATAAAATATTGGTTCCACCCCTAGGGCAAGGGTTATCGTACTATGGACAAATGCAAGTTAGTGCCCGAGTTAGAAAGTGTGACAATGTCCACTTTACGGGTAACTAAACGACAATAACACCAAAATTAACTTCAATTGAGATAATTAAGAAAGACTTGTTAGCATTGCGTCTTCACTGAGAGTGTAGCCCTTAGTCGAGTGGAATGGAAAAACAGGATTAATGTAGATCAGTTGGGAATAGGCTTTGTTGGGTTGAGTTGAGTTTAAGGATGGAGAGATATACACTCACAGAAGACACAGGATATGAAGGAATACATGCATGGAATTTTAATGATTTTGGAAGTGCAATAAAATGTAAAAATTTAGCTTCATATAAAGAAATAAATTTCAAAAATAAAGGACTGATTCCACATTTCATACCCAGTTTCCCAAGTCCCAACATCAATCGACCATTGTGTCATGCCTTGTTTACTGACAACTTAACAAGTTTGAAAAGTCATCAAGTTTCTTACCAATTCCACCAAACCTTTTCCTGTTAAACATTTCCTTTGTAGATTAAGATATATATAAACAGCTGTCCGACATTGTCTGAAACCTTGTTTGTGCTGTGATTTTGTGATGAATTTAAGAGATATAGAGAGTAAAAGCATGGTTACAAATGGAAATTGGAACCATGACTCGCATTCAAGAATGGCACAAGAATGAGACCTTTGGCACAGCATAGAGATCAAATGTCACAACACGTTTGAAACAAGAAACCAAAAGCATATGAACTAGAGGAGAATTTCTAAGTAAAAAGATTACTGCAGTTAAAGAAATCTGACACGACCCAAAAATGAATTAAAAGTGTTGAATTAAGAAAACAACATAATAATAAACAGCCTTAATTGAAGAAAGAAGATTAACAACAACAAAAAGCTACAACACAGCATACACTTCTACACAAAGAATAGGGTATATATGAAGTTGCTCAATCAACAATTTAAGCTGAAAGGCAAAAATAGTGGAACTCTGATAAAAGGACATAAAGATGATGATCAGAATCTCCATTGGGTGTCATATACCTGTGGTACAACCAATACTTCACCAAAACTCTGGCAAATCTTCATTCATATTCAAATTGAATCTCCACATGCAAATATTTCCTCATAAGCCTAACAATGGACGAGGTAAAATTGGCTAACATTTGGCATTCTTCATGGGTCTTGGCCTCAGAAACCACCCCATAAATGACCAACCTCTTAAGATTGAGGCACCTTTCAAGAAGTCCTGCAACCCAGTGTGAGAACAGATCACCAATTACTGTCCACCCAAGTTCCAATACAACCACATTTTCAAATTGAAATGAACCTTGCAAGCCATATTGCACTGCCCCATCTTTCAGATCGTAACACAAGGACAGATGGCTCAACAAAGGAAAACATGAAGATATTGTCTCTAAATCCACAACCTCATCCTCATCATCAAAAACAACACCCCAAAGCCGAAGCCTTCTCAATTTTGATGACCTTGAGATCATATGATGAAACTTTGGCCACATGATTGTGAAATTACTAACATCGACAATCTCAAGATTTTCAGTACCCTCACCAATATCTAGTTGGATGACACTAACATCATCAATCTTGAGAAACCTCAAGGTCCCCTTGCTGACAAGCTCAAAAACCTCAAGTGTACAGTCTTTCAAGTGCAACTTCTCAATGCCATCAGCCTCCAATATAAACTTATCCAAACTGATCGCTTCAACATAAATATCCTTCAAAGAGGCACTACTCAATTCCATTGTTGTCTGCGCATCTGACATGGCAATATCTAGATTGACAAGAGCCAATACCTCTATTTTTTGGCAGGCAGTAAGCAAGAGGTTCAAATCCAATGCTGAGATACTAACATACCTCAAAGAAAGCGACTTGAGGCAAGGAAATTTCTGATAACTAGGTTCAACACCTGTGATAGAATTATGAGCCAATTCCAACACTTCCAGCTTTTGTCGACCACATTTGTCAAGAATATTAATGCTTGGGGTGGTCCTTACATTATAATGTAGCAGGCGCAAGGTTTCCCTAGTATACATTAGCCAAGCAATCACTGGGGCAGCTGAGAACTCATCAACCGCATCCATAATAATTGATAAGCATTGGAGTCCGGTGGTCTGGAAAATTGTTTGAGTGATAAGAATTTCTATTCTACTTGTCGAGAGATCATTGTATACAGACCAGTCATTTGAATTGAAGGAAAGTGTATGGAGGTGGTTCCGCCAAGCCTCTCGCCATTTCCTGCAAGTCGTGGATGCTATCACAACATCTCGTGCAGCCCCAAGCCGGGATAGAATGTTTCCAATGACTTCAACAGGAAGGTACTCCATAACCAACCAAACAACTGAGAAACAAAAAGTACAAAAGCTATTGTCCACCAGATTCAATCAAAACCTTTTCAAGTGGAAAAACTCAGCCAACTTATGGTTAAACTACAGATCATCAAGAATTCTTTTCTTCCAGCCAAAAACAAAATTAAGGAAAATCAAGATTGACTAAAACCCAGAAACCAAGCAGCCAAATCTTCAAAAAAAAATCCAAAAAACAATCCTCAACCAAGACTTCAAGAGAAAACCCAGATCAATTTTTTAGGGTTTTCATGCCAGTAAGCATACAGAAGTCAACCAACCCAATCATCAACACACACAAACCTACCAACTGGGTAATGATTGAAATCCAGTTGCTAGTATCTTCACTATAAACCATCCATTTTTGCAAGCAAACAAAGTCAAACAAACCCTCCTCCCAAAATGAAATTAAAAAAATCAGTGTGTTGGTTTTACTAGAAAAGCAACAATCTGATCAGATTTCAAAGATTTCTCATCAATTGACCAAACTAGTCCTTTCAATTTACACTCCTGCAACCAAAGAATAAAGAAAGATACACAGAATCATATACAAGCTACCATATCAAATGATAAATTCAAAGAACTCAGATTTATATAAAATCTGAGTGACTTACCCGGCAGATTCAGATGATCATGAACTCCACACAGACCCAAATCAGAATAATTTTGAACTTTCAAATTTCTGGCCCCAACTGTGTATATCTAATAGATATGAAGTCTAGAGAGAGAATCTAGTGAGAGAAAAGTGGAGAAAACAATGATGAGCGGCGAAGAATGAAGGAAGCTGAGAAAGCTAGGAGATTTTTGAGAGGAGAGCGAAGGATAGAATTGGAACTTCGTATCTGATTCGCCATGGAAAGGAACAGGGTAAGAGCATCACAATTGGATAGTTACTGTATACCACTAAATTCCTGTTACTAACATCATCACTAATCAGATGAAAAGCAAAAAAATAACATAAAATAAAATAAAATTAAGACACAATGCACACGTGACACCCACTGTCACATCATTAGAGTAACCACTAATTGATAGTCTGCATCATTTTTCTAGTTAAAAATGTAAGTCAAAGTGTGTTACATGACCAAAAAGAAAAATACATATAAAGTGGAGTCTAAAAATGTGTATTAAGGTGGGGGTAAAAATTTGTTAATTTTAAAGAGTAATTGTTAATGTAGTAGGATATGTTAAAGTGTGTATATATATATAATAAATAAAATAAATAAATAATTTAATTTAATCAAAAATTTTAAGTCTAAAAAAATGTTAAACGAGCCGGTCGACTAAGTGGTCAACTAGAGAGTCAACCGAGGGTCAACCTAGAAGTCGACCTGCTTTATTACAAAATGCTTTGTCTTTCTCTTCTCTCTCTCTCTTGGTTGGCCAGAAAGTTAGTCACAGTTAATACACAAGTTAAGAGCTGACATTAACACACACCCACTAACACATCCATTGTAGCACCCAACAGTGTTTTTGACTGGCCAAAAACTAACACCTGACACTAACACACTCACTAACGCATCCATTGTGGATGCTCTAATCTATTATGTTTGACATCTCCGACCATTAAATTTTGAATAATTCTATTTACACAGTACATACTATTTATATTACAATTGTTTTGATATAAATAATTAAACGGAATATATATTTGAACAATTTATATTTATTCATTAATTTATTTTTGAATATTTATCTTTTGTTCAAAAATTTATATTTAAACAAAATAAATAATATTTACTAAGATTTCTTGTGGTGCATAAATAAAATTTTCCCTAACTTTTCAAGTAAATTACTTTAATAATGTATTAGTACCCTTATAATTTTAAAAATTACAATCTCCGCCATAAAGTTGCATTGCAAATAGCTTATACGCATTAAAAAAAATAAAAAAATAAAAAAAAGAGCTTATTTTATTAAATAACTATTAAGGACTAAATGGTAATTACAAATGGGATGATTCTATTTACATCATGACTTTATCTCAGTACACTCATTTTCTAATTATACGTTGAAATGTATATTCTATAGCTTTTGTAATACCAAACATACTACTATCATTCCTGTTCTTACATCTTCTCTTTATTCTCATTATCTTTCTCTTTTCTTCTATTCCTCATTCTCTCACTTTCCCTATCACACACTTCCATATTTTTTCACTATAGAAAAGATAATAGCGATAGGATAAGGAATGGACGGGAGTGGTATAGTATTGACATGAAACATGATTTTTTTGAGACTTTTAATTCTTTTTTCTTCTACATTTGAGCTTTGTTCAATAACCAAAGTTTGACCAACTTGGATTGTTCGATGTTCGGCCCTTTACAATCGAACAATCCAAGTTTGTTCGCCTTTAAGTGGTTGAATAGACCAATTAGAGAAAAATAATCATGTTGGATCTTAGTTGTTTGAACAATCATAAGATGTTTGATAACCAAAGGTCAAACAATCTTGATTTGTTCTTTTTATTTATTTATTTTTATTTCGAGTTTGATTTTTGTAATCAAACATATTCTCTCCTTTTCTTTATTTCTTTTTATTCTTGTTGTAGTTTTGTACACAACAGAATTAAATCTTTTTAAATACAGTGAAGATTGTCCAACAGTTTGATAACCAAAGGTCAAACAATCTTGATTTGTTCAACAAACCAAAGCTCTTTTCAAATAGCGAGGAACTCACACCCAAACAAAATATGAAAATATTGTATACATTCTATTTACAATAATGATTATTATTATTATTATTATTATTATTATATGTTTCAATTGTGATTTTTCTTTTTTCTTTTTTCTTTTTTTGGGAATGCTACATGTATCAAAATTCTTATTAAAAATTTTACTACAAGTACATGTGTCCAGACATCATTGAGTATCTAAGTATCATTATTTTTTTGACAACTAATCATATTTAGCCTATTGTATTGTTAGTAAGATTTTTAATAAGAGTATTAATATCTATAGAATTATTCTCTTTTTTCTTTTTTTCTTTTTTTCTTTCTTTATGTTTTTATGGTAGAAGTGCATAGAGTTGCAAAGTGAATAACAAAATGGAAGAAAGGGCAGAGGATGGTGATGGTTGGTTGAGGAGAAAAGACCACAGTTAATGGAGAAGAAAGGTGGTAACGGTTGAAAAAATGAATAAATAATGGGATGAGTGTAAACAAAAATTTCTATTCAGTATGTTTGGTTTCACTTTTTTTTAATTTAATTTTTTAAAAATTGAGTTTTTGATTTTTTGTATTTTTTTATTTTTAGTGAATATTTTTAAAATTTTAAGCAATTTTTTTACCTTGTTAGATGCACCTTACTTAAATATATCTAAATAGTAAAATGTTTGTGAAAAAATATTTTAAAAAATTAATAAATACACAAAAATTTGAAAATTATACTAATTTTTTGTATTTTTTTATATTTTTGGTATTTAGTGAATTTAAAAAAAAATCATAAATATTATATTTTTTAAACGTATTTATGTTAGGCTTGATTAAAAAATTTTAAAAAAAATTACTTAAAATATTTTAAAAAATTCAGTGAAAATAAAAAAATACAGAAAACGAAAAAGTAAAATTTTCTAAAAAATAAATTTTGAAAACTGAAACTAAACAAAGTGATTAACATTTGTTTTTTTTAAATGTTTTTAGTCCTTAAATTTTTTTTTAAATTGAAGTTATAATGAGAAAAAATTGTTATATAAATAGAAGCTCACAAAATTTTTAAAAGACTATTTTACCCTTATTCTATCTAAACCGTAAAATTGATCCACCACCTCCATATTTCCTTTTTTCCCAAACCCAACAATGCCTTTTATCTTTTCTTCTTCTTCTTCTTCTCCCCCCTCTCTCTCTCTCTCTCTCTCTCTCTCTCTCTCTCATTGTTACAATTAGAGCTAGGGATAAAGTTATCTGAACTGCACAATCTAGCCAAACCGATCCGCATATAAATGAGCGATTTCGCAGGCATAATGGACCGGTTGTGGGTTTAACCCGCACCCGCAAGAATCTGCTCATGCTTAGACCCCCCCTTTTTTTTAACTTGGACCGTTGTTATTTTATTATTGCATTTTTGATAAATGTAAAAGTTAATGAAAAATTACTTTTAGGTAAAGAATTTTGAAAGATTTTATTTTAATTGTATTATTGGGTAGTAGATAGTGAATGAGATTGATGATCTAGTTTAGGATTTTGAAAGATGTGCTTGTATTAGTTTATGATTTGATTTGAATGATTTGTTTGTGTTAAGAATTGATTTTGTTGTGTTTTTAATTTTATAAGTTTTAACTCATTAATTATTAATGTTAGAGCATTTTATGGGGAAAAATGACCCAAAATAAATATTTACAAAATGGGGGGAAAAAAAGGTTCTAAAATAATTTTTTTAAGAAAAAAGTCAAATCTGTAAACCACCAGCACATCTGCGAACACTATCTGCACAAACCGCAATCCGCACTGCAGGCATTTGCAAGTTGAATTTTTCCCAAACCGTATATATGCAGGCAGGTCTAAATCGATATGCAAACCGTCCAAAACCGAATCGCGACCACCCCTAATTACAACTATCTCCAATTTTTACCATTTTTCGACACCCTACCCATAATAAGACATATTAGATACAATTGCAAAAGATGGTATGGAAACAAAAAGGTAAGGGGCTATAGTGGTTGGTGAAGCAACCAAAAAAAAATAAATTATTCACCCAAAAAAAAAAGAGAGCCAAAAACCCTTTTAATCCTGATGTCTCTTTCTAATTGTTTGCCTCCTTCAAGGAGCACTACTACTCGTTACGATTGGATTGCAATTGGAGTACCATCATTTGTCACAGTGAATGGGAGATGACGAGTTGGTGAAATTGTGGAGATTAATCTTCAGCTTGTCATTGTTTTTATTGATCTCTTACTCATCCTCAACCTGAAATACCCATAAGAATCCACTATATCCATCAATGCTAAAGTTGTGCTATTCCTCTCTATTTCCTTGTCTATCATTTCTCTCTCTCTCTCCATTTAGTCTCTCTAGAATGCTTCGTTTAGTTTTATTTTTCTTTTATGTATTATCTTTGTTAAACTTTATGTGAGTAGGTTTTGGAAAATTCTAGGTGTGTTTGGTTTGTGTTTATAGAGTAGTTTTTGAGATAAAAAGTACGAAAACTTGTTTGGTTTGCCTTTTTTCAGAAATGGTTTTGAAAAATTGTTTTGGAAGAGAGAGTTTTAAAAAAAGCGATTGATTTGAAGTGTATGAGAGAGAGAGTGATTTTGGAAAGTAGGTAACCAAACAAAATTTTGAGATTTTTTTTGAAAAAATTTGTTTGGTTTGATTACTCTTAAAAATTTGTTTGTAGAGAATTTTTCCCAAAAAAATTTCTGAAAAACAAACCAATTTTCACCCACCTAATAAACTCAGGGTAAATCTTTTCTCAATACGCATCCCTATTAATTTAATTATTAAGTAATTATCTCAATCCACATCCTTAAAATTACAAATAAAGCATTCACTCATAACATGTACACACACTTTACCCTCAAATACACACACTTCAATTTACCCCAATTTACATTTCTACTTCCACCCACTTTGGTGAAAACCAAAGTGATTTGGTTCAAATAGAAAGAAGAAGAAGAAGAAGAAGTTCTAACAGGAAACAAAAAAAAAACAAACAAACAAACAAACAAACTGCACTTTCCTCACCTCCATTGAAGATTTCAAGAGCTCCATTGAATATCTACTAAACACTATTGAAACCTTGTTTAAGGTAAGAAATCTTTCAATTTTATTATTACATTTATCATTTTGTTATTACATTGACAATTTTCAGATATCACTTCACTCCATTGGCATAAAAGTATGTTTTTTCCGTAGCTATATGTGCTGTGTAGATCTT